CGATATCGTAAGTATTAGAAATCTGACATCAATGAGCTTTTTTATTTATGAAAGGCATAGTACAAAACATCATAGCACAGCACAATTTAAAAATCTTCGCTGAAAAAAACGTTTCTGATTGCCATTTTTGGCTTAGAATGATTGCTGGTTTTTTTTTTTACAATAAGCACAGTCGATCAGAATAGTTCAATCCTTGATAACGATGGTCATCCAAAATCAACCCAATATTTATTTAGCGTCTCGATCCGTCTTCATCCTCAATAATGACGACGAAAGTCAGCCAAGCAATATACGGTATACACCATGGAATGTGGATCAGCTAGTTACTAGGATCACCATCGATTTCAAGGTAAAATTATCGATTGCGTCTTCTTGTCTGTGTACTGTAGCATTACGACAGAAAAATGGTGCTTTACATAAACAGCTTATTCACTTTCTCCACGTAGCAAAAGGTGGGGGAAAAAGTGTGATAAGGAAGAAGATTGAGTCATGCTAAGGCGGAAATGAGTTTAGCGATATGTCTATTGATTTCAGTTGGAGCGCGGAATTTGCAATAAGACAAAAATCGACATATCGATTTTTACTCGTTGAAGAGCATTATGCATCTTTTGAGAAGTCGTAGCACTCACCAGTGTTATTTTTTAAGCAGAAATTGTGACCTCTTGCTTTCGATCTTGCAACTCTCAGTTCAATATGAAACTTACAATTTGTTCCATTTAGATTTTTGAAATTTTCATCACATGGCTCTCCTTTCCCCATAGTCGAAAATATGATATTGAGTGCATTTGTTAACAAAATCGCATCTAAGCGAAGTTTTTTTTTTCAGTTTGCTGAACCTGACAATAAACAAGGAGTACTGTTACATTCAGTACTGGACGATGGTTCAGTGGTGAAACTTTACGTGGTGGAAAAGAACGGAAATTTATTGTTTGGCAGCATTGGGCATATAAATTTTACGCTAGATGCCAGTGCTGAGTAAGTTTTATATGCTGATATTTATGTTCAAGAAAACGCAATTCTTCAACAGGTATCACACCGTATTTATCGGTATACACCACTCATCGCGCATGATCGGCTTGTCAGTAGACGGAAAAACTCAGGTTAGTTAGGTTGCGAAAACTGGTCCTCAGGAACAAAGTAGTGAACCTTTGGGGACCAGTTCTCGCTTTCTCAGCAGCCTAGTTCATGCCATTTATTGACTCTTTGTTTCATTTTGAGTTATGTTCCTTCAGAAGCTCTCGTATGCAGACTCACCCATTACTCTGAAATTTGCATCCATATTATTTGGTGGTGCTCCTGCAACGAATGGAGCGCGTGAACTTGGCATTACAGCATGCCTAAAAAATGTCTATGTTGATCATCACGATATTATTTACATGCTATTCGACAATGATAGACGGGTATGTTCAAAAAAAACAATCAATAAATCAATAACTAGCAATTCTATTTCAGGTAGAATCGTCAAAGAGACTCACAACATGCGCTACCGACGGAAACCTTCCGGATCTGATCACTTTAGGGCTCCCGATGTTCAATGCTGACCCCTTACCAGATGAGGTTGGTTTCAGAAGGAAATTGCAAGCCACGCCCATTTGGACAGCTCCACCTTACTCGCTTCTCCGAATTTAACTTGTGAGCAGTTTTCTGCGAAAAAAAGTAGAACATGCATTAGAGCAATTTGAATAGGGGCGTGGCTTTTTAGCCAAAAAAAACTAAAAACTTCTCAACATAATTTTTTCGGCTTTCCACTCTCCTGATGCATCTACCGCCGAGGATGGCCTGTTCGAAGGATTCCTCCTAGCGCTCCAGGTGAATCTAACGAGTGAAGGAGATGCAAAGGTATATAACGCGAATATGTTTATCTTTTTTTGCACCTTTTCAATTTCGACCCTTTTTCTTTCCAGGATCCACCATCAATGTCTGGCATACAGGAAGTTCCTGCAGGCAGCGAGGGTATACATGTAGGCGTACATAAACGTGCAAAATTTGGAGTTTTTCAAAATTAGAAATTTCAGATTCACAAAGGTGGTCTCTTCGGTACTGGGTCACGTAGTAAGTTTTTCTTTAATTTACTTAACCCATTGACGACGCCTAATTTTGCGTGGCGGCGCTGTGGGACGACGCGATTTTGCACAACAATTGCGGCGCGGAATAGTTTTGTGCTTAATAACGAAATGTAAAAATGTTCTGTAAACAACTACAGCCATTTTCTTGGACGACCAAGTCTACAGGTCCCACGAGTACAAAAACTGAAAAAATGCTAAACTCTGGAAAACATAACAGACCTGAAAAGGATATGTTTTTGCAAGGGGTGTAGGCCACCGGTGGTCCACATTTACGTCAATCGGTTAACCATTTTTTGAACTACTCGACTGCTTGCCAGAAATCTTATCACTCAGTTGAAAAAATTTCTATTTTGGGCAGCTTTGATGCTATTTCAAGAGCTCTTTTTTTCTGATTTTTAGCGTAATTTTTCATGATGATTTTGTTGTGAGTTTATAATTATAAATGGTTAAGAGTTTGGTATATGTTTTAATTTTTACGTTCAGAGAACTCGATTTACCCATTGCCGTGCGAAAAATATCAAGACTATGTCTGTCGCAATGGAGCTCTCTGTGAACGTCGCGCGGGTGGTCCAGTGTGTCTGTGCAAACGCGGGTTCGGAGGAAAGTATTGTCAGTTCGGTAAGTTTTGTTCAGTAGGTGTGGCTTTCTATTAAGCTCAGCGCCTCCAAAAATGGCAATAAGATAATATTCTGTAACTTCAGTGCTACAGCCACGAACATGCGCTGAGGCCAACACCTTCTTCAGTTTGCCATCAGGACCCACTCAACTGGATGTGGATGGAACACGTCCAATGCTTGGAAGTGTTGCTGTGTGCCAAGATGGAGTGTAAGTTTTTGTGTCTAGCTAGTAGGTTTATGTAATCGAAGACTTAGATATTTTCAAATTGGACTTCAAAACAGTGTAAAAATAGTGCAACTTACCCTTTTGTAATAATTCGATTTTCACAGCAGTTTGTGTTCAGCTGAGATGCACAGATTGAACTGTATGAAACGAAAAACTCGATAACACTGGGGTTTCTAATCAATATATTGATTTCCTTTTGAAAGCTTCATTTGTAGCACTATCGTACCTCACGACATGCCGAATGGAACCATAGCACGAGCATCTGAGGACACAACACATGCGATGTTCATCGTGTCGTACAGAGATTTCACTAGCGATAAGCTAGCCAGGTTAGTCAACGCTCATAACAAGAATAGAATCTTTTTGAAAGTTTCTCAGCTTGCCATCTTCTGAAAACAGTCATATAATTTCCAAATTTGTGCTTTACTATTTTTTCTAGCACTTTGAAGACTCGTCAATCATACTTTAGGCTCATCACCAACTCAGGATCGTGTAGGCAATATGTGCAGTACGATTGCAACAATGCTGCTTTAGGGTAAGGAATTAAAGCTTCTAATAATTTTTCAGTAGATATGATATATTATCACAAGCTGCAGAGCAAGAGCTTTCCTGAGAGGCATAGCCACTCAGAAATTCAGAGAATTGCTTATGCTTTACATCAAACTAGCACTAATGTGATTCAAAATTCAGTTCACTTAAGCGCATTAAACTGGTGACAATGAAAAGCGAAGGTATACGGCAACTAAAGTTGAAGGCACCGTCTACCAATATGAGGGTTGACGAGATTATGATGGTATAATAGTGTGGGCCCCCACACTAGGCAAACCCCCAAGTTGGCCGCAGAGGATTGCTTCTGGAGCGAGAAATCCGCTCTGGAAGGAACAAATTTGGAGCTGGGCACTCCACCCAGCTGGTCGCCTGGCCACATTGCAAGTTTTCCCTCACCTGCGCTTGTAGCAGCGGGTTCTCCAAAACGGGGTTTTTGAGGGTTTCGCAGGTCCTCGATATATTCGAAATGAGGGCTTCTAGAAGGCCTGAAAGCGACAAAAACATGGAAGTCGCGAATTAAAGTAGACGGTGCCTTTAAGGATTCTTTTTTTCGAAGAAGAGTGGAAATAAAAACAACGAAAAGTAATTTGAACTAAGGGGATCGGCCACAACTTTCGAAGAAAAAACTTATACAGTAATAGGCTCAAATTTTCCAGCTTTTAACTCACAATCGCGAAAGAAAGCGCGTCTTTAAAAATCTCGTTCAAAACATTTCTCCAAAATCACTTCATTTTCTGCATATAAATAAAGTCACTTAGTTAGCTTTACAGCTCAACTCCCTATCCGTATGCCTTTCTCATGTTCGCATGGAAATGGCTTTGAAACTCACCACGCGATGCTGAGCATCACAAATGAATCGTAAACAACTGTTCATTCATGAAGCATCTCCATGTAAGATCGGTAATTTCAAGGAAAAAAACTTTGTTGCCAGGAAACAAATGCGAATTTGAACGGATTACTGAAATTTTAATTTGATAGTCGCCATAAGGATAATATTCACCTTGGGCTACATTTCAGTGCAAAAATCTTTTCAGTTTTTCAAATAAAACCTTGCCAAATCGACTATCTACGCGTTCATCACTTTTTGGCGCTGTTTTCGCAAAAAAGCCAACTTTTTAAGCATTTTTTTGGGCTAGAATTCATGGCGCGCAGAGTTACAGGCAAATCATAACTTTGCAAAATGTCGAATTAGCGACCCAGTTCTGCGTGCCAAAAGACGCGTGGACCTTTAACGCGCAGAGGGACCCACTTATCGAACCGGCTCGTCTTTGCGCATGGTGGGCCTACACGCTGGCACGGTATGTTATGCAAAATTGTAGCCCAATAGCTTAGCTGCAGCTTCGTCTATAAATTTGCGTTATTATAGTAAAATTTTTGGTACTCACTCCTAAAGGCGGGCCACTCTTCCCCTAAATGGTATACGTAATAATAGAGCTACATATTTTGTTGCATGGTCATCAAAATTCAATCGCTTTGTTTCTCGCCGCAATTCTCTCGTCATATCCACCTAAATGTGAAGTTCCAGATTTGAAACAAACAAAACATGGTTCAACGTAGCCGTGCAAAATCGCACTGTGCGAAGGATTGGCCATGTGCCTCATAGCTGCCCGTGTATGGACCTAGGTTGTATCGAAGGAAGTGAGTGTAATCTTACATTCACTGTGATTCAGCAAAACCAGTTACTGATTAGAGAAATGCAATTGCGATTCAAGAGCAATCACAAGTGATTCGGGTTATCTACATGGAGAAGAAGCTGGCATAACGCGAGTCGTAGGTGTCATACGCTTATTCTACACCTAGACCCATTATAAGAAACCTTCTTCTTAGGTCGCTTTACATAATGATGGTGACGTTAGTGGTAAATTCACAATAGGCCCACTAGAGTGCGAAGGATTTGGTGGGTCCGTTGGTGTTCTGTTATCGAAAACCATAAAATGGTGTATTCTATAGCTGGACGAGGACCAATTCGCTTCGCCAAAGCGCAAGCTCTGACGGTTCGACAATGGAAGGGCGAACCATTGTCGCTACACTTCCGCACAGCGGACGCATCGGCTACCATCCTTTCCGTTGTTGACGATGAGGAGAAATCCCTAAGAGTAGAGCTTATCAATGGTAGGTGCAAACTTTTTTCTCGCGATTCTCAGTCTCGCTCGCTGTCGCTGTCTGTCGCTGACCGTCGCCGGTTATCGCTTGCTGTCGACCATTGCCGCCCATGTCGTCCATGTCGCTTCAGTAATTTGTTCTTTAACTGACCGTGCATTTATAGGTCACATGATCCGCGTAACGCTGATCAATTCTAGTGCAACAGTTGAATCTCAAGCACGGTAATTTTACTGATCTGTATCAATCAATTGATAACGATCGATGTTGCAGATTGAATGACACAAAATGGCATTTGTTGAATCTCGAATTTGCAAATGATGAAGTTCGTATTGGAGTTGATGCTCATAACGTCTTTGCTCCGGTTCCCAGTGATAACATTCCAGAAGGAGATCTGACGCTGAACGATGATGAGAAGTTAGTAAATCACCATTCTCGGTCCTTATTCTTTCTTCCCCCCTCCGCCCTTTTCCCCTCTTCTGCAAAATTTCGAAAAAAAAAACAAATATTTCTTCCAGTGGCTTCACAGGTTGTCTCAGATCTCTAATGGTCAATGACAACTATGTTCATTTGCAGGGGCTTGCACACGGTGTGGAGGGTAAGCCTAGAATTTTTCAGGTTCCAGAGGCCACGCCCCCATTGAGTATTTAGGTATCTCACCGTACTGTCAAGATCGCTGTATCGAAAATTTCTGCCAAAATGGTGCGCAGTGCGTTGAGGACTTCACTGCCGACGCAGCAGTATGTCGCTGTAAGAACCCAAACGTACAAAGTGGACGGAATTGCGAAATAGGTCAGTGCAAAAATGGGCGGAGCTTGTCCAACATTTTCACAGTGATCTTAGGATGAAAAATTTTCAAGTTTTGTATGGAACTTTTTGTTGATGTATAATTTCGACTACTTTGAAAATCAAATTTACCTTGCCAAAGCTTTCTGATTTATCGTCGTTCCCTTTTTTGAAGGTTAGAGCTACAAGACTAAAGGATTCGGGAGCTTTCTAGCAAATTTTAATTTGGAATAGCCGATCCCTATATGATGGAAGAAATTGTTGCGTCTCCCATATAAGACTCTTTCAGACATCAATCGTAACTCGTCCGTTTCATTCTATGGTGGATTTCTGAAGTACGAGTTATCACACAATCCTCTAATTGAGCAGACGTTGTTTTCATTTCGTACCGACCAACCACAAGCTTTGCTAATGTTTGTGCATGATCACAACAATAATTTCATGCAGGTATGCGTGTTTGAAAATACGATAGTAACAATACGCGAGTCTAGCCATTCACAGTCGTAGCGGGAAGCAGGCTGACCAATCACAGCAAGAATCTCCGAACACCTTTTGTACATTTCAGCTTCACCTTTCGGAGGAGGTTAATTTGACTTTGTCGCTGAATAATGAAGATGTCGTTCATTCATGTACGGTACGGGCACATCCGGGAACGGAGTACGGTAATATGCAGTGGATTCAGGTGAGCATAAACAAAAAAACTAGAATTTTGCTACTCGTTTTTTGATTGTGAACAAATCGCCAAAACAATTAGAATTAGTTTTTTTTTTGTGGAAAATCTCTGTTGTTTCGGATAACCATAGAACACTCGAGTGAATCGTCAACTCTAACAGTGGACGATGATGCTTGCACTATACATGCGCCAAGAAAACTTGCCGAACATCCTATACAGAGATTCGTACACGTTTTCACAGGTCACATTTTGTTCTTCGATGTCGATCCATCCGTAAACTCGTCCAGTTCCAGATATCGTGTTTATTCCTGTTGGACTGAACTCTCCAACAGATCCGAAACCTTTTGTTTATACTTTTATGGGCGGAATTGAGCGCGAGATCCCATCCAATGGTACGTAACATTTCTTTGATCCCGCTTCCCCATCGATCAATTATTGATCAAGATGGATCGATGATTTTGCGACCCATTTATCAATGTGCTGTGCCGGATTTGCTCGGATGTCTACGTGGTTTGAAAATCGGTGGTGAGGTGGTTGATCTGCGTCATACCGAACATGGCTATCGACCAAATGACCCAAGTTAGTGACGTCAATCAAATCGGTTATTGATTTTTCAATAGGTCATCATTTGTAGAGCTGGTTCGTACCGGTTGCGAGTTGGGATGCAGCTCGTTAGGTTGCAAAAACAGTGGACATTGTTCAGTGGCATGGCAAGAAAATGCTGATGTCACATGTGATTGTTCGCGGACGAGTTACACTGGGGCAAAGTGTACTGAAGGTGGATTTTAAGGAATAAGAGATTATTCAAAGTCTACTGCCAGACGAAGGCGCGAAAGCAATATCAGTTAAGCGGACGCAGCCGCTGCGCGCGCGCATCTTTAACCCTGCGTAAAAGCTGCGCCTAACGTCCTGCGGCCAATAAAATCGCGTTACCATTCCAATGTTTTGCTTCTTCTTCTGCCAGTAGACCTTATTCTAAGGGACCTTGTTTTATGGTGCAATTGCAGACAATGGCTTTACTATTTATGGCACCGCTTACTTTACCTTCGATATTGACCGGTTTCTGTCGCGCTACATTCTGACACCAACGAAGAAAACCCAAACTCTGCAGTTTGCTTTCGCCCCTTTGTCACCCTCCACTCACCATCAACATCTCGCCACGATTTACTTCAAGGATGAGAGGTATCTTATTCGGGGGCGGAGCTTACACAGTGCGCAAGAAATCGTTTCAGACTCTTAGAGGTGATTTTGAATCGCAATGGATCAATCAACGTTGGAATAATAAGCGACGAAAAAAGGGACGTGGTCAGGACATTTGTGGGAAATTACTCGGATGGTTATCGACATTTCTTCGTTGCACGATTTGGTGCACATCAAGCTACCACGGTTACTGTGAGTTTCAGTGGGCACCTTAAACATCTAAACTTGGGGTAGGTTTGTATGAGTTCCTCTCGGAGAAAACAAAACGAAATTTTTTTGCTTTAATTAATGCAGACCTAACAATCAATATATCGATTGGCGATTTCTTGCGTTTTGCTCTTGTGAGTGATCATTGAACGGTGACGGCCAGCAAAAAAGTTTTTTTTTGGGGGTGGGGGGGGGGGGGGAGAGATCGGAAGGGGTAAGAGGAAGGAAGACAGAGTATATCTTCAATGAAGGGACGTAGCATAAGCCACTCTTTTCGTAACAGTGGTAGATCAGAACTCCCCGCCCCCCCCCCCCCTCCACGAAGCTTTTGAAAGTTACCACGTTGAAGTACATATATAGTGAAATAATTTTTGGAATTAAAAAAATTCTGATCAGCTGTGTAGAGAGATATTTCGGGGCGTGGTCCAAAAACTTCTCGAAATTCCAGGGTTGTAAGCTCGCTAAAAACCCGCTAGGGTTACAACGCTTGAAACAATTCTCAATGGCGTTCGCATCCGCTCATTTATCTCGATCTCTTTTAAAAAAATCGTGACCCATTACCTCCACCATACTCCAACACCCCGCCCGTGTCAATCGATATATTGATCGAAACTGCTAATCTTTCCATGTGGAGCTCAATTTCAGGTAGATGCCATTCGTCATGACTTCGATTTTGTCGCAGATAATTTGGACCTCTTTAACGCCAGAGAAATCACCATTGGAGGACGAAAGTTCGAGAAAAGAGAAGTGATTCCGAGCATCAAAACCTATTATGACGGATGCGTGTCCAGTAAGTAAATTAAACCATATTTTTAATTCGTCTTAAAATTCATTACCATGCAGATCTTGAACTGGACTTCGGCATACCAGCACTGCACGCGACACCGTTCTCCTATCTGGGCGGGGGTAATTCATCATTCGCCAATTATAGCTGGATGACTCCACCTATCACGGTGAATCGAGGTGGCTGTGCACCATTCAAGGTTCCGAATTCGCTGCCAGGTAAGTTCTAGGAACTTAGAGACTGAAGCGTGAAGCATACCGGTAACATTGTTACAGTATACCACGATCCGATAGAGTTGCCAGTATGGGAGACAAATTTTAAGCGACTAGTTTACCATGCCGTTCGCATAGATCCTCTATCTACAGGAGAGGACGGCAATAAATGTATGTCTCGAGATACTCGAAAATTCTGAAATACATTACAATTGCAAAAATCAAAGTTTAGGGCTGTGGGCTATCGGCATCATAATCGCTGTGATGCTCTTGCTTCTAGCCGCTACCGTGATTGTTTGTTGTTGTTGCTTACTTGGCACCAAGTCCGATGACAAGCGTAAGTTTTTGTGCACTTGTTCCATTACGGAAAAATTTTGATGCTCGTCTGTGATTGGCTGACGACTACAGTAAGCTATCAATTTGAAAAATCACGTTGAGTCTAAGATTACATTCAAATTGTTTTTCTAAGGCAATGTCCAACGTAATCTGGGACCATTCTCTCTTATAAACAAAGACAGATCCAAAAATATTGCTTTAAGGGGGGGGGGGGGCTTAACCTCTTGAAATTTTTTTATAAGACTTGGCTAACGGCATTCCTCTCTTATAAATTTTGATGTCATAGACCCGCTAGATTAGGGAACTCCGGGCAATTCCCCGGAGGGCTTACGCCACAGTCCTCCATTTAAAAAAAAATTCCGCCTCCTGCCCCCCATATATATTAGGTCGTTTCAAAAGTAATTTCGCTTTTTCCAAACGGGCGCCGCAGCTTTCAGATAACCAATACCTGCGCTCTATGCTTTTTGAGATGGTCAAGTTTCACAATTTTTCTAAACTTTTATATCAATTCTTTAAAGAAGCGAAAGTAACATATCCGTAAAGCAAACCTTACAGGATGCAAAACAATTTTTTTCTCTTTTCCACAACTTGTCATTCATTTTTAACAGAATTTAAACTGATGCTACCGATTTCCATACTTGGACAGCTAAATCTTCATGGAACATCAAAGGAAGAGCAGCTCGCGCACTATTCGATGCAGCATTTTCTTCTCTTTCTAACGGGTGCTGTTTGTTTGCGATTCGTCCAGACTTCGGAACCAAAATCCTCATAACTCATTTTTCCAACGAGCCCCAGGCTGTGCCCGTGAAACTCGAAATTTGATATTTCGAATCCGTAAACTCTCACTTGCTTTGTAAAATTATAACTTATAGTACCATCTTGGTAGTCTCAAATTCCGATTAATTGTTATGTTTGATGCGATGTGGCTATTGTAGGCCTGCCAAAGTCCGATGGCTTTATTAAAAAATATTTTGAAAATCTTTTGAAAAATTATCGCGAGCTTTAAAAAAGAGAAAAAAGTTGCGCTGTTTTCTATGAGGTTTGCTCTGTCGAATCCTTACTTGATCGCCTTCCGAGGATTGATATGAAAGTTTCAAAAATTGTGAAACTTGACTATGTTAAAAAGCATAGGTCGCAGGTTTTGGTTATTTTCTGAAAGTTCATTGACTGTTTTGCAACAATTTCATAACCTTCAGAAAGAGGATGAAATACTGCATCGAATGCTACCAAGATCTCTCAGAAACCTTTGTTCCATCAAGTGTGGCGCCCGTTTGAAAAAAGTGAAATTACTTTTGAAACGACCTAATAATTTCTCAAAACTCTACTACACTGGCGATAACCATGCTATTACGAAAGATTTCTGGGATTATCTCAAAATTTTGCGAACCTATCCCGGTAACTTTGTTGCAGCTCTAGCAAGGGAGGATACTTAGTGACTGTGGCCTTTGCAGCGAGATGTGTACTAGTTGATGCGCCTTGAAACGTTAACACCAAATCTAAGTTCATTATTTGCTGTGCGACTCTCTAGATGAAGTTACGGACTTTTTTCCATATTCATTGCACAAGATCTAAGCGGTCAAAATAGTCAGTTTCCAGGCTTTTTAGACTCGGATATATTGGAGACAATTTTCCTTAGCTTAATGTAAATCTTCATTTGATCTGGACGCTCTAATATAGTGCGAAAGTGACCACATCACCAATCCCGGTGAATCTGGTGGCAAGAAATGTTTATAACTTCTTTCGGAACAGCGCACAGCAGACACCGAAGGCAGATTCGGAATCAGCGCTCCATAATGCATGTAATAATGAGGGTTTCATACAAAAGGCCACGGTCATCCAGTATCCTTCTCTTGTAAGTCCAATTACAGTGCAATTCAAAAATTATTATCAAGTGAGAAGTCATTTGTACATACTAAGCTGCTGCATAAGTTTCGTCCGATTTTTTTGCCTGGTGTTTGAAACGTCGTTCTAAGAGATTTTCACACGTAGTGCAATACTATTTGTATAGAGCATTCAAAAAATCGTGACTATTGCGCAACCGTGCACGACATGCACGCACCTTCCGGCAACCGCATTTTCTTGGTTTAACTCTTCTCGACTGTTTTTTCTGCTTAGGTATGATAGTACTTGGACACTGGAAGTGACTGAGCTGAGCTTGAGGTGATACCTATTTGTATGAGGGTGTTACGCTCCTGTTGGCGCAAAGACCGGTCAAATCCATCATCACGATTTTATAATTGAATCTTACCATTACAAAGCGCTTTTCTTGCTCTTTGTAATACATATCGTATTTCAATGAAGTTCTCAGTCTGACGAGATTGCAGGCCTATGATCCCAGATGGTCGAGACATGTTCTTAGCTAACAATAAGAAAATGAACTTGCGAGAAAATCTCCACAATATGCTTTTCAAGCCAAATCCTTGTAGTGGTAATTGGAATATGGGTAAAACAGTCCAATATGTGCACAAACTCACTTTCATGTAAAAAAACGTCTTGCTAGTAAAATTGTCGAAGAAAAATTATTTGTACAAAAGTTCTACAGCTATATATATACTTTACACGTTGAAAACTTTGTAATTATCCTTGGAGCTCAGTACTCTCCCCAGCAAACTGTGTTGGGCGGGGCTTGCCAGTATACCCACCAGCCGAACTTCCGGTTTGCTTGTATGATCATACAAAGATGGTTCCCTGCTGGCAAACGAGGAGGCGTAGGTACTACTCCACTGAGTCTATCGAGCACAAGATCATGTGCAATTTTATATATTACGCAGGCTTTTTACACTATTTCTGCATTATCTCTTTTATAAGTTGCCTAGACTGGAGTGAGGATGACGTGGTTTATTTTTAGTTACTGTTCGGGCCTCGAGCGTATGAATGAAATGAAATGAAACTTTCCGTAAATCGAGGAAATCGATGAGTCCAATGTTGGAAGTGCTAGAGTAAAGCAGTCACTAGTTACTTTTCACGCTTGCGGCAAGTGTAAAATTTTCATAATTTGAAAGTTGGCGTCATACATGTACTAAAACGAAGTAAAAAACGGCTTCGTTTCCAATTGGTCAAAAAGATCTCTAGCCTGCAAAAATCCATGGGCACTTCCAGACCGTAGAATAATCTTCGAAGTTTCCTCTATCTACCCATTGTTACTTCATGTGTGTCCTTCATAAGGGAGTATTGCCATGTTAAAAAAGACAGGTTTGAAGAAAAACGCTGCGAAGATTTTGAGTTTTTGCCTCTTCTTTAACGAGGTTTCTCGCAAGAATTAGTATCACCCTGATAGCCAAAGAACTGCTCACACGCCGAACTAAGATTACGGAAAAAAAGTTGATTTTAGTCAGATACTCTGAAATCGAAAATCTAGGACAGAACTTATGCCACAGCCTGATACAACTCATGCAGACCACTTTCAAAGATCGGGGCTCCTTCTCCTCTATGTTTTTTTTAAAGATTACTGAACTCCTGCCCAAGCTGTGCTTCCTGACGTATTTGTTTTATGATCGCGTTTTCAGACGATACGGTGAAGGTTGCGCTTTGTAACAAACTTCTCGTAGAACGAAATGTAGAAGTTCCCCCTTGAGCTTTGGCTTAGTTAATTAATTCCAATCGGTGTCTCTATAGGGAGTCATCTACATTTGCCTGAGCACTGCTTTTTTCAACTGCATAACTTTCAGCTGCAATGTGCAAAGACGAGGAGGAACCGCTGCGGTTACACCCAACCCCACCCCCGTCACTTATAGAACGTGAGTAGCTTCAAACAAAGTACATTATAGAATTTCGACGACTTTTTTGTTGCAGAGTCACGGTTTTCTGAGAAGCAAGTAACATTTACTGAACCTAATCACTACTTGCTTAATAATCACACACCAACAATGGAAAAAGAAACGACTCAGGTAACATTCACTGACACAAGAACCTACCCTTGCTTAGACGATATCCTTGGGATCCTGGGAATTTCACAGCAACATCTCATTCCTTTTAGGAGGCCAGTTTTCCGCCCTTTTCTGCTGTTTCCTCTCTCCTTACCCTTCTCTACCCCTAGAAATTCAAGCGTAATGTAAATTAGAATCTGCAAAACACTTTATATTTATGTCAAGTCTAACGTTTGCTGGACAGCGCACTTGGAACGTGGAAATACAGAGAATCATATTTTCACGCTGCTATTCCACATTCATTTTCTCATGGATTTTCAAGACAATTCTTCTGACTGCTTAAGACTATGAACTATTATGAACTCTTATGCGGCTAGAGTCTCCCGGCTTGTCCGCATTCGTAAGAGCCTGGAAGTGAGGAACATATGATGCTTATTTTCCAAAACAACCTTTACCGGGTTAAACAAAAACGGGTCGGACAAATTCCATAGCGATGCCGAAACAAAACGGCTCACCTTTCAACGTTAGAGAGAAATCACCACTTACGCTAGAAGCTAGGGATGGAATGTGGAGCTGAGCCATTCGGATGTAGGTTAAGACCGATATAGCTTCAAAAACAAAATGGCACGAGCTTACCTGTTATAGCTATGCCCCACTCTTTTCCGTTCACCTTAGGATTTCTAGTCCGAATCCAGCAGCAGTTGAAGTTGTTCGAACCGCCGCCTTAGCCGCCCACACTTTTTATTAGTTAGGATCTATGCAGTACAACCTCCTAACCCCTACCCCAACCCTCCCCCATTTCATAAGTAGCCCTAGCAGGATTAATCCTGCATAAATATAGCTAGCTAGCAACATAGTGTGTAGTTTGACGTAAAAGAAAGCATGGAAATACTTTTTTAGACTTCGCCCACATCGCGACCACGCGTGCCCCTAGCTAATATAGCTGAGGCCGACTCGCTTGAACTTTCTTATCATACCCCTCGTCTAAGATCGATACTCACTAAAGCTGTGATTATCAACATATTGCTCAGTATCCTCATCCTTCAGTGATATGTACATATAATCTGTGTATATAGTCGTTTAGAATTTTATAATAAATTATGAGCCAGTTGTCAGTTTTAGTTATTTCTTTGCATGATGCTAATAACATACATAGCTACCAGTGGCGTACCGAGGGGTGGGGGGCGGGGGGGGGGGGCGCGCGCCCCCTCCGAGAATGGGTCGCGAAATTTTTGAAAGTTACTCATATGGGTTATAAAAATGTGCAAGTGACTTGTTTATTTTTGTAAATAATTAAAATAATTTTTAAAAATTTTTAAAAATTCAAATTAACTTTGTAAAAAAAATTTTTTCGGGGGCGTGGCTAACGCCACGCCCCCTTTTTCCAGATTTTAGAGGTCGGAGACCCGCAAAAGTTTTGAGAAGCACCTCCAAAATTTTTTCGGAGTGCGTGGCTGACGCCACGCACCTTCTTTAGAAAATTTTTTTTGTCGCGCCCCCCCCCCGAGCCGAAATCCTGGGTACGCCACTGATAGCTAGCTATGGCCGTCCGCGCCGTACTCGAAGAGCAACGCTGTTGCATCCATCGAAGATGGTTCATCTTGAAGAGGCGCAGAGAAAACAGGAAGTGAGAGTAAACGAGGAAAGAGCAGTGACGCGCAGTACATGCCCTGCGCACTCTCCGCGCCCTGCGCGGACGGCTCATAGTGCAGTGCAGAGCTTAGTATTTGTAACATAGCAATCTAAACTAAATTTAAGTAAGCGTGGTTGTCCAGTCCAGTGATTGGTCCAGACAAACTCGCCCACCATGTTGAGTGCTGCACAACTTACCTGCACTGCTTGCGCACCCAACAAGCGCCCAGATATCACGTGCCGGCGCTGTGCAGACGCCGTACCGTACAACATGGATGCGCCATCTATTGGTCGACGTAGGTCCGGCACTGCGCTGGAACGGCGCTGACACGGTTCACTCTGGACGCTGCTTAACACTGCACCCTTATCCTCCGCAACTCAACCGAAATTCCTCGCTTGTTCCACGAAGCCTGACAGCGGCTACTGCATCTTTCGTAGGCTAAGGTCTCTGATTCGCCTCGCACGTCATTGCAATCCGGAATGACCGCGTATTTCACTGCACAGGAGAGCCTAAGCGACAACGATGTCGGCGAGGAAAGTGAGGTCGATCTGGATGCTACACTTCGCGACATTGGTGACGAAAATTTCGACATGCTTGATGTGACGTGAGCTAACCCCTTGATTTTGTTTTGAGAACACTTCACACCAATATGTTCACTTTTGTTTGCAACATAACAAAAGCATGAGTCAACTATCAGATTGATTGGTCATTGTTTGATTTGTGCTCAACATCATCAAACCTTATCAGTTCCAACTTTTTTGTTTTTAGAAGACCGCAGTCATTTACAGAACGTTCATCACCTCGATTATCATCGTTCAGGTCAGTTGTTTCAAATATTAATTTCAAATACGTCCAGACTGGGAGTTGAGAGAAAATGCTTGATCCACATCTCTACCTGTCCAACCCTCTCGAGTGTTTTTGTTTTTGGTGTGCTTATGGTTAGTATGGTATTGTTTAGAATCTTCAACGGCAGTGTCTGCAGTGGCCAGAACGTTTTCTAAATAGGAGTTAAAACGATAGGATTACTTAACACCTACCTGAACTTACTCTTGTCAAATTGCATCAAATCAATTTGGATTAAAATTTACATTCCACTGCAAGGAAAACAGGAACAGCAAATGGCAAAAAAACAAATGCCCATCAAATCATAAAGCAAAATCAAAGAAAATTGCGATCTTTTCGTAGATCTGCCCCTTGAGCTAGGGCCAATGACTATGGGGACTGGGCATAAGCAAAAACTGACGAACCCCAACTCAAAGCGAAGGTAAAGGGATCAAAATAAGAGTAATTACAAAAGCGAACAAATTCACGTTTTCAAATTCGTCCTAATCGTCCTCGCCTCGTGTTGCCGTGGTGGCGCGCTTGAGCTTCGTACTGACTTTCCACACATTCGCTCAAACTTGGGTAATCAAACCTTTATTTGTAAAGATTAAATAATTAAACAAAATGAACATTGAACAAATAACATGTAACGATTTGGAGTTACGTGTAGCAAATAGCTTGAGGTTCTTCATCAAACCATGATATGAGGGTTAAGATGTAGCAAATGGCTTGAGATTCTTTATCAAAGGAAGGCATGGGTGAACAGCTAAAATTGTTTCTATAAAATTATGACGCGTTCCGTTGTTTTCCCCAGTTTCAAGATTACTGTACTCAGCTAACTCATCACCTAAGTCCGGACATTCGGCCGGATGAACCAGACGTTGGGAGAGGATGAAAATTTTATCATAGGAGCAATAGAAGCATAGCACACACAAGCTAATAGGCAAGCGACTACTTGCGATAAGGTAAAACCATCTACTAGCCAAGCTGCATGGCGTTGATAGTATCCTGGCGGTGGCTCCTCCTCCGAGTCGAATCGTCGTAAATCTTCGGCGGCGGCTCTGTTGGTCGCCGTCGCTTTTCCTACATGTAAGCCTCGGAGAAGTCCCCTCCTCGGGACTTTTGAAAGAACTGGGATGCGACTGGCATAAAACGGTGGCGTGGTCGTCTTTGCCACAATATCCGCAGGGTTGGTAGTCGTAGCAGACGCTGATGTGATGAGGTTTGGCGCATTTTGGACAAAGATTTTTCGTTGGAAATTATGTGAGCTTTCATGTAAAAGGGTAGGTATACTCTGCTTTGATGAGCCAGGTGGTTCTTTGTGCAGAGTGGGCACATGATTTTTGACCTGTTGGTTTTTGGTGCTCGGCTGCTCATCGGTAGGGCCTCAGGGACAGATGGAGATGTTGCGTGTTGTTGCTGTCGAAAATAGTGTAGAATAATAGGCAGCTGGCAATACGCGGTTGGATGCGTGCGAGAAGGTGAAAATGGGCTGAAAATAGTGTAGTAGTTTTGGCGAAAGAGGAGGCGCTATCTCGTGATTACACACGGTCGTGGGAGCAGTTGTTTTAATCGTGGAAGCTCCGAGAGGTTTTTTTCTCTTGTGTAGCAAAGTTACGCCGCTTTGTTGATTGATTGCCCCCACGATTTCGAGGCGCAACTAATCCGGCGAAAAAGAAAGGTTAGAGGTTGTGGATATTGCTCAGTTGTAAATCCGTCACAGAAAACTTGAGGCAAAGGTGGTGATATAGTGAGTGAGCAGGAATCGCGCACGAAGAGAAAACATTGTTCTATACCTGGAAATTGGGTGGTTCTCAGTCCTCATCGAATACACTCCGTCGAAATGCGGCTCCCTAACATGCTCATCCAAAACTATGTTCTGGACAATGCACCTAGCCGACAAAAACGAGAAACCAAGTATCTTACGACGCGGAAAATCGACAGTCTCGCTACGAGCTTGTACCCTATCAAACAACCCCGCTAGTGCAACGAATATTTGGGAAAAGCAACATTCAAAGTATTCCAAAATTCGATATAAAACCAATCAAAGAAAAGAATTTATTGCGAGAAATCAAACACTGGAATGTGACGAACCTAGACTTTCTCCGCTTTTACCAGAACGAGGATCCTTGCATCAGCGCTCTTCGAACCATCCGCTACTGCGAGTATCACGCCCGCCAACTTACATGGCTCCGCTCCATCAAATCTAAAAGAGCGTTGAATTACGCGGAAAAGGCTATAGAGCAAAATCTAGAACATGAATCACGGACATTTTCGACAGTTACCTTGGGCAAGAATTTGGGCATTTACAAGTTGAATTTCGAAAGGGTTCACACGATTCCAATGTTTGAGGGGAAGGATCCAGCTCAAATGACGGCAGCGACACCACCTAGCCCAACAACTGCGCTAATCACTACGGCGCGTATAGAAAACAAGCCACCTGACACGCAGAGATCGCCGTCTAAATCCATATCGCAAGCAAAAATAGCGATAACCACAAAACCCCCTATCCAAAAGGTCACAACAACTCAAGCACCAGAGCCAACTGTTTCGCGGTCATTATAATCCAATGAAAGAACTACCACCTTACTCTTTCATTCGACTGCCAAAACGATATCACGATTTGCAACGCGCTACGACTCAAGTTCTCTCTTCAGTAGCACCAGCGATTCAGATACCTCTAACTAATCCATCAACTTCAGCAAAAACTGTAGAGGAAACGACAGAAACAACAACAATAGTCCCCGAAAAAGAAACCGAATCTCCAACGTGGCGCCATCAAATTATTTACCATGTGATCTTCGTAAATATGCGAGAGTTCTATTTTCCTACACCTGGTTACCAGGAGATTATCACCGGTTAGAATTGCAGAAACGTCGTTAGTTTGTAAAATTGTTCTGGCTGCCCAAGTGGGATCCGCTCGGCTAAGTTCGCTCATTTCGTGATTGCTGAGAAATTGTCGCACGCACGCACTATTAAAAACTCGTCTGACATCATAATGTTCCTCGTAAAGCTCGTGGGTCTCTGGAGGGATTAGATAAGTGGCGTCAGCTCTGTTTTCCGTTGGGGTTGCTCGATTTTGTTGTAATTATCGGCGCGATCAGCCACCTGTTATGATCTGCTTCCCTATCAGTCCAAGATCAACTGTGCGCTACACCAGGCTCAAACAATCTGCTAGAAAACGCAGTGGAAATCCCGTGCCCATTCATGCCTAGCCCCACCGAACAACTACAAACGCTGTTACCACCTAACACTTTTGACAGCGAATACGCTCAACCATTTCTCTTTGAAGCGCCACCGATATTCCAAAAGCTGTCCGGAGTGATGGCGCCAACAACGCGATTTCAAATCCAACATCTCCAACAACGATATGCCGCGCTACAAAACAAACTGCACAAAAAAGGAATTCTTGAGGACACACTATTCCATATCAAAAGCGCCGGGAATTCCGTAGGAGAATCGTTGAGCAGCCTTTATGACAAAACCACGGATAAACTGACTGCAGGCGTCGAAAGCATTCGCTGGTCAATTATAAATTTCCTGCTATGGACCACAATACCTGTGCTGGAGGTCTTTTTGCTAACTGGATTTTGCATATGCTACATCAAAGCCTATCTTATTAGAAAAACGTCCAGCACAGGCGCATCCGCACTTTTTGATCTAGTGGGCGCCTTCACCAGGAAAGAACGAAACCCACAACGAAGAGTTAACGCAGTAACAACCGAAATGAGCGCATCCCAGGAGTCCCTTTTCATCCCACGAATCTACTCCATCATTTCAGCGGTCAATAACAACAAAGATAGCCCCCTACCGTATGTGAAAATAACACTAAACAAGGTGCCCATCACTGCCCTCGTGGACACCGGCGCTTCGATATCTTATATGCGACTATCCACGCTAAGATCGCTAGGACCGCAAACACAAATAGAGGAAAATGTAACAAATGCCCAAGCGGCAAATGGAACAACAGTAGAACTCGTAGCATCAATCAATTCATCGGTAAATTTGGGAACTCACATCTTATTCCACCGTTTCCTTGTATCCCACGATCAGCAGTGTCCTGCACCCGTTCTACTCGGCTCCGATTTCATCCGGCGATTGAACGAGCTCGGTCTGAAAGTCACAGTTGATTTACATAACAACATACTGACCATTGGCGATGAACAACGAAATATGGTGCAGATCAACGTCATTTTACCCGCGGCTGCGCAATTTTTCGATGTGCGCTTACTAGAAAACACCACCTTAGCCAAAAGGACTAATAATCTAATACCAGGATAAATGAATACTCCTTTTCTAACCCACTCGAATTCGTCATCGAAGATAACCAAAGAGACTCAGATTCGCTTTTTCTCGTTGGCAGATCCCTAGCTACACCCGACGCCCAAGGAAAATGCATCATTTGCATCCTCTATCCATTAAACAGCGCGATTCGCCTATACAAGAATATGAGAATATTCTTGTATAGGCGAATTTTTTCGCCTCACCAATCTACTTCCCCGAACAGCAAATTTTTGCAGTTGCTACTGAGCCTTATGTTCCGCCGGGGGCAGACTGGGAATCCAGGATTCCACAATTTCCCACTGACGCTCAATCTTACGATATATGCAGGGTAAGCGAAAGCGAAAAGGAACAACTCCGAAACACTTGCCGAAAGCACAGCGCTGCGTTTGTTAGACCCGACGGTCATCTCGGACATTACAACGGACCCATCCGGCATCGCATCGATTTGATAGAAAACGCCACGATACCAACCCGTAAGATCTATCGAGTCCCCCTCGAAAAAAGAACCGAAATCGAACGTCAAATGACGCAGATGATCAGAGATGGAATTATACGCGAATCCTGCTTCTTTTTGCGCACCAATAGTCCTAGTACGAAAGCGCAGTTTGAACTCGTGGAGGTTTACTATCGACTTCAGGGGACTGATTGCCATCACCAAACCCCAGCAGTCTATTTTGCCTAACATCCAGGACATAATTGATCTATGCGCCGACAAATGTTTGTACTCGTCCCTGGATTTTGAGCAAGGGTTTCACCAAATCCCGCTAGAAGAAAGCCACTGCGAAAGAACGGCTTTTGCCTGTTTACTAGGAGCATTCGAATACATCCGCATGCCTATGGGACTAAAAGGCGCTCCAGCTACCTTTCAAAGGATCATGGACTATTTCAGAAAACATCTTAGAGCACGCGTGTTTATATACTACATGTATGTTATAAAATTATGACGCGTTCCGTTGTTTTCCCCAGTTTCAAGATTACTGTACTCAGTTAACTCATCACCTAAGTCCGGACATTCGGCCGGATGAACTAGACGTGGGGAGAGGATGAAAAGTTTATCATAGGAGCAATAGAAGCATAGCACACACAAGCTAATAGGCAAGCGACTACTTGCGATAAGGTAAAACCATCTACTAGCCAAGCTGCATGGCGTCGATAGTATCCTGGCGGTGGATCCTCCTCCGAGTCGAATCGTCGTAAATCTTCGGCGGCGGCTCTGTTGTGGGCCGTCGCTTTTCCTACAACTACTTAAGCTGCCGGTGGCAGTGGCTTAGTTAGGGCCCCAAAATTACTACCCACGTAAGATCCTTATGTGTCCAGATTTGCCTGGATGCTGCCTTTAAGTGATTGAACCGCTCTAAGAGTTTTCTGCTAAAGGTGTTTGAACCTCCGACACTTGTATGACCAACCCCTCGCCCGGGAGATTGTGGAAAGACTGCCAGACGTCGTTCATCAATCGGTGTTTACTCTCTCTGAATCTTTACGAGTTGTAAACGCCACGTCATTGTTAATTGAGAAAAAGCTAGTGATAAGCTGATGGAGTAATTCTGTGATGGCTTACCTGGGTGATGATGTCTTTCCTCACATACTAGTTTTGATCTCATTTGATCTCTTGAATTGATCACTGTGGTCAAATGCGGTGTCTGAGGGGGTATGTCACCAAATGGTCTTTGATTTCCAGGCTCCGACGAAGGCGAAGACGCCGAAACGTCAGCCATCAATAAAAAGATCATACCATCTTGGCTTAACTACAGCAAAAATCAATATTGGAATACCATGCCAAGATTCAAAGAAGGTCGAACCTTTGAAATTTTGAGACAACAACAAAATTACTGAACAAAAACAATACTGAATACAAACCCGAATACAATACCGAATAAAAACCAACAACATTTACAGTGCGTCTTCTTTGTCGTCGTTGGCGACAGAGGGTGTCTTTAAGACCCTCAATAACACGTAGAGAAGGTCAACGATATGTGACCAATAACTCATTTGTTTCCTTGAAAACACTATGTCTCTGATTTAGGCAAGGTGACCCTACTGTGCCGAAAGATAGCCCACTTTATGCACCGATCTCACCAAATCGTCTGGCGAGGCCAATTCCTATGCCGGTACCGCCACCTCGTTCCAATTCATGAATCTTCGTCGTATAGTAATCTCGGAACTTATTTCTAGCTCGCATTCTAGTCGTTGTATGCATTGTTGATAGAAGACTTTAATTTCTGATTGTGAGCCTTTAAGTAACCTCATTATTCGGTCGAGAATGTGTTAATCCTCATAAGAGCTCGCTTTTTTGTCTAATCCTCTATCTTGGAAAAAGTAGCATTGGTTAATATTCATTCTAAAGCGCAATAGTAACTGAACAAATTGTCCATAATTTTTATTTTCATCTCACTTGTAGCGTTGTTAACACTGTTCACTTCCTTACAAAGTTTATTTGCATTTATTGACTTATAAAAGTTTTCACTTATTGAGATTTATATTCTACATTACGCTTTCAGTCATACCAGTAACATAAGAATTGATAAAGCTCATCAATGACACGATAATTCTACAGCAGAGGCCTATCTGAGATCATGATGATAAGACCATCGAGAAAGATAACTTGTGAGGAACTTTGTAATACAATTATACAGATTACGATGTTTTCTTGTCCGTAATTGTACTCTTTTCTGTAATAGTATTCTCTTGGTTCGATTTCGTCTCTTCACCTTTCGGCTTCCTTGGTAATATAGTACACAGCAAATGGTGCAATATTGGCCACACAGCGAAGTAGAGAATATAAATGAGGAAGTACATTGATTTTACCGGCTAGAAAAATTCATTACCGGCAAAAGTCTCAATAATCGAATGATTTGGACTTACCCCTATCCAGTATCTTGTCTTCACAAGACCCATCGTTAAAAATGCAAATCCCATAGTGTATGCTGTGACAATACGTCCAAATAACTGTATAAACGGTCGAGCATGTGGCTTTGCAATCAACTCCGCCCAACCAGGAGTTCGATCAATAAGTTTGTATAACTAAAAAAGGTACAACCGTCAACATTATTCAAAATCAAAAATGACTGCAAACCTGCTGCTGAGCATGCACGCAACCGAATTCCAAACCAAAGAGTAGGAAGTATCCCAGGTGATAACCGTGCCATATGGCTAGATAAGCGAGGGTGGCTAAATGTGCCAACGGTTTGTTATCTAACCACCGTAACCGTCGAAGGACATGACTGAAAAAAAAACAGAAGTACTCCAGTCTACACCCTTCAAACATAGAGCGTATAGAACTCACTTTTTAGCCCAAGTATTGGTCCCACAATTGAATGATTGGATGCAGTCTGTGAAATCCTTGCCCAGTTCCCATTTCCAAACATGAATGTCTCTGACCCCATCCCATCTTAAAAATACACACATTAATGATGGAATGGTGAAATCGGATGGCAATAAATGAGGCAAAGGCATCAACACATTGAACTCGTTATGCTCCCATACCATCTCAAAAAAAAATCACTGCTTTATTCATCTACACTTTCTCCATGGCAAGAAAACATGAATAAACACATGAAACTCACCGATCTCGTCCTTTATGATCCTTTCCGTTGTAACCAAGACCATTAAGTATTGAGGCTCCTTCCTGAATATGACATCTACAAGCTGCATTTCAGTCTGATCAGGTTTATAATTCATCTATATCTAATATCATATCATCAGATGATGACCGAGTTTAGCGGTATGGAAACAAAGCTAAATGCATTTCTGTATCAAGCATTAACTGTCCCACCTTAGGTTACTATGTGATGTTTACGATGGCATATTACGCTTAAGTAATGTAATAATTGCATAAAAAACAAATATGAAAGTAAAATAATCAGACAAGTGATCAAAACGTACCACGATCATCCAAATAGCACAGTATCGACTGATGACTATTCGGAACCAAATAACGGCCCATGTCCATTTCCAGAATAAAGATTGGCTCTGGAAGTAAAAATATTCCCTCAGTGCTTAGAAACAGGACTGCTTGCATGAACTTGGCAAATTGCAATTGTATCGGAATTTTTAGAAATGGTTTGAAATCATTTTAGAAGTTAGCATTGAATGTATTGAGAAAAAACTTCGAGAAAAATCCGAGTGTGAAACCTTGAAGCTCAAATTCTCGAGCTACTTTCTTCGTGACTATTCCAACTTCATCTAATTAATAGCGGTGTTATGTGCTTTTGCCACATGACAGCTTGTATTTCAGTAGCAGAAAATACATCAGCTTCATCTCTGTCGACCTTTCAGTTTGCACACATTTAGATAGGCGCCAGACTAAGCGACTATATCGTTCAGCTGCAAAAGGCGCGCAGAATTAACGTTAAATCTGCGCGGAACCTGCAGCTGAAGCAGGCCTTACAAGGGAATGATCAGAATCGAAGTGGACAATCCAGACAAGCTGCATATCTTTAGATGCAGCACGAAACGCTGACTCTAAATCTGTCTTCCTTGCCTGCTTATCGCTTTTCTAGACGAAGCTATAAGCCATTAAAGACCATTATTTTGCCAACAAATTAAGCGTGAAATTGAAAATTTTCCGTACAGAGCCACGTTCGCCTTAATGCTGGGCCAAAACATGCAGCTAGCTTACTTCAAATTTTCAAAGCTAGAAGCTGGGCTAAAAGTGCAACGATGTGCTCGATTTCGCCGTTTTTATGTATTAGCGATAAGCAGATAAGGAAGACAGATTCGAAGTCAGCGTTTTATACTGCATCGAATGATATACAGCTTGTTTGGTTTGGCCACTTCGACTTCTGACCATTCCCTTGTTAGCAGCAGCAGATATTATGTAGCAGACATTAATTCTGCGCGCCTTTTGCAGCCGAACAAAACAGTCGCTTAGTCTGGCGCCTACCTTAGAGAGATGCCCTTGTGTCCATAGACAGCTATCAAGCCATCTTATAGGAATCGTGAGTATTACTGTAACATGAAGAAGAAAGTTGTCTTAGGCCATTTTGCAGTACCGATGAACGAGCAGAGAAAGTCAACCGATCTTGAGCCAGAAAGGAATATCAAACAGAATAATTGTATAACTTTCTTAAAACATTTTTTCCGAAGAAAACGCCCATTTTTACAGTGCAATAGAAAACACTCCCTAAGCGCAAGTTCACAAAATACTTCGAGTAAGGCAAAACGACTTTTAGAGTCGACTTTTTGCACCAATTATGAAGTGATTTGAACACTCCTAAGATGTGTAAATACGCCGATATGAAGAATCTATGGAATTTCAAATTTCTTCTAAAGGACAAACACAACTCAAAAAAGTATAGCTCAATGCATGATAAAGATGCTTTTTGATGCCAAGCATACACATCATTTCTCAAAAAACATAACCCACATAAAATCCTGGGCTGTTGAAATATGAATCTGGCAGCCACGCGGATCCAAATTGATTTATGGCCATGTATATACATCCACCGACAAAACGGCGCAATGCGGCATCCTGGCTACAAACACATAGTATAGGTTATTGAGTAAATTGAAGAAAGCTAAAACTTACGCTGATGCTCTGGGTTGGCGTTTCTCATCTAACCAATCGCCTCTGACCACCGACCGGAATCTGCTCAAGGTAAATTGAGGTCCAGCAAAAGTCCCGGTGTAGAAGAGACCGAAAGCGGCGATTTCAAGCAATCCAGGGACATCTTGGATGGCTGTTTTCTTCTGATCTGGTTTCAGTGTAGCCTGAACAGTTGGTACTATTTCGTCTTTTCAATGCACTTGTTATCCAACCATGTGCTCTCCGTCGTACACATCCATCACTAGACCTATATAGCGGAGTACAAGCACACAAAACGGTGTAGTCCAATTAATGTCGTAACTTTCTGACTCTTCAAACCAGTATGCCACAAGGAGGTAGCCCTTAAAACATTTTACTACAGAATAAAACATTGATATGGTATGCTGCTGACAAACCGAGAGCTGTCTGCAAAAAAAAAACGCTAAAAAAAACAACAGATTTTCAATGATGGCTCCGACACATTTGCGAGAGAATAACAGATTTGAAGTTTGAGAGACAACCCACCAGAAACACGGTATGAGCAGCAACAATTTTTTCCACCCTGTCTTTCATGAAATTTGTGATGAGGTAGGCGAATACGATTGCAAGCAGTGTGTGCAAAACATCAGACCCTAAAATTGATTCATAAAAGCCAACATACCAGAGGAATATTTCCTCATCAACACTAAGAAGTATACGGTAGGTGGGTTCCATGTGTGTCGTTATTTTTCTATCCGCTGAAGGGAGAAACTGCCTACATTAATTTCACTTAACTGTTGATCTCGTAAGATAAAAATCAAAAACACAAAAATTCTACTCATTTAGAAGTGTAAATTTCAAGTTTAGGATATATTTAACACATTAACTTTTCTTTCATAAACAAATATGTCTCTTTCGTCACGAAACAACGAGAGAACGCATATCTCATAAGGGACAGCCAATTTCTATACTGCTAAAACCGTGACAAAATATGTGTCAGAAGTAAAACTCAAACAAAAAAAAACGACAATCACTCACCAGAGTTGAAGATATGCAAAACTAAGCCGACAGTAACAAAGAAAGCATGTTGTATATGTGCAGGTTTATAAACTATGATAGTTCGATGAATATAGGCTAGCGGGTATCCTGAAAGAGAATGCATGATTTTGGGAATTCATCTCTGGAAAGACGAAATCATTTGAACTGAGCAATTGCTATTAGGTTCATGCAACTGTTTAGAAAGCCCCAAACGAATAACTAGTCAATATTAACTAATTTATACAGAATGCTTTTTTTGTATATCAAAGAGTATTTCATGATACACTTTGGAAAACCAATCTGAAGAAAAGCAATAAATCGGATTTACTCAACTTCTTTCGATCAAAGTAGTTCAACCAAAGCCAAAATAAATTTAGATCTCAGCAGACGCTTAAGCAATTTTAACGACCAAAATTCGAAAACCCTTCAGGCCTCGGACAGAGTTCACGCGATTTGATCGTCGCGATTCGATCGCTACAAGACAAATGTTACGATTTCATTGCATGCCGATCTTCTTCTATTTCGGTTGTGATAGTTAGTCATCACGATTAGCCTTGTCGGAAAACTATCACAACCGAAATGCAAGAAGATCTGCATGCAGTGAACTCGTAACACTTGTCTTGTAGCACGATCAAATCGCGTGATTCTGCCCGATGCCTTAGAGCATTCTTTCAATCAGCCGTATCGTTTCCAGCCAAAAAGAATTTTGAGCACACACAGAAAGCGCAAGATTTCCCTCTCTATTATGTCTCAAAAGAGAAGATTTCACTAAAGGTGGAAAAAGAGAGGTTTCGAAATTTTGGTGAATTAGAATTATGCAAAGACCTAATATAGGAAATAAAATAAAGGCTCTTGGGGTGACAATATGGAACTTTTTTCTTTTAGTTCGAAAAACGACGAAGGAATTTTTATAATGTAGGCAATGATATGATGTAGGAAACGCTGATCAGAAACACTTTTCACTCAAGTTTTTCAGACTTGTGGAATTTCATTTCTACACTTTCTGCTAAGTCTTTTCGAAAATATGGAAATCGATTATATCCGTGAACTAAGTTTCACTACTTGTTTAGTCTAAGAACAGAGAACAAATGAATATTCTCTAAAGAGATTATAAAGACCTAGAAGTTCCATGGAAAACAAGTCGATTCAGAAACATCTACATAAAGAAGATAAAAGTAAACTAGCTGCTCAGCTTTCTCATCAAAGTTAAATCGTACCTGCTAAAATGCAAAGGAATAATCGTAAAGCATCTTCTCTTGCGTGTATAAGATTAGCGAGTGCATGAACAACCATCCGTGGTGCACTAAAAATATAAAATGCAGTCATAGACTTACCACAGACCTGTGTTTACGAAATTAACACGGAAAAACACGTCGAACGAGACTTGACAATTATTTGTGGAGGAGAAAGGATACTGAAAACACCGGCACGCAGGGGACGCATCGCGACGCAACATGCGCAAATAAACGCAGCTGCACTCAGCTCGGAATGCGATCAATGGAGCTTTTGCGCTAGACGTCGTCGACGGCGGAATCCACGATACTCAACACAAGTGCCGTGCCCGTTTCGTAAACAAGCCCTCACAAGAAAAGTGCGAATGGGCGGGTGGGCATAAGACATGTGAAAACCCATGTCTGTACAGTAATAAAACAGTGGGAAGGTGTAATTCACAATGTCAATGTTGAAGGTACGCGAAAGCTTTCAAGTTTAGCAAATAAACAAAAGTCTTCAGAGCTTGTAGGAAAAATCGTGGACTTTTGCTCCAAAGATCTCGATGTTGTAGATATCTTCATAGATGACTCTCAAACTACTGCAGACATCATTCATTCTCTGACTAAGTTACGCCAGAACGCTTTGCGTACAATTGATCAACAAGTTCATGAATGAGTTTTAACGCGTTTTGGTTGATTACTATCAGGAAATCGAGAAAGAACGTGTTCAAGCCAGCGTGGTTTAACGAGCTCAAGCATGTTCTTTCACGAATTCCAATAGAATCAACCCAAAACGTGTTAATACTCATTCATGAATTAGTTAATGAAATGTACGCAAAGTACTCGCGTCTCAGTCACAGAATAAATGATAGTTATTTACTGTAATCGTCCTTCCGCAATCACGACATATGCGCCGAAACGACGTTAAAATCCACTCGCTTAGGGATCGTTCATACCGCGCACAAAGGCGGACGAAGGCGGACGAAGCCGGACGAAGGCGCGTCTTGTCTCATCTCGTTTCTCTCGACACACACACACTCACACATGCCTTCGTCCGCCTTTGTGCGGCTTCGTCCGCCTTCGTCCGCCGTTGTCCGGCTTTGTCCGGCTTCGTCCGCCTTTGTGCGCGGTATGAACAATCCCTTAGGCTGCGTTCATACTGACCCGAAGACCGGGAACAGTTCCAGCACAGCGCTTGAAATGAGCGCTGTGCTGAAACTGTTCCCGGATTTCGAAATCAATCTGAACGCAGCCTTAGTGTGAATGAATCTCTCTTCTAAAAAGCAGTGCCCTACATATTATTTCCGATGGACAATGGACAATGCCTGAAAAGTGAAGCTTGTTTGGACCCTCTGCGAAGGAAGGTGTGTTCGACCAAAGATAAAAAGAACGTAACGTGAAACACAGCAGAAAAGAGAAACCCTTGACAATGGCTAAAGGCAATGCAAGAAATTTGAAATCTTTATTTCGCCGCATTCAGATGGCAGGTTTTCGCTCTAGGACGCCAGTCTGGACTTTTCGAGGAAAGCGGAGAAAATTCTTAGTGCGGTTGTCTAACTAATCACGTGCGGATTTAGCCATTGCTAAGAAGAAAATGCACAAAAAATGCCTGAATGCAGGGAGTTCTGCTTCTGCAAAGTCGAAGTACGGAGGGCCACTCCTATTGAGGCGTCCTTTAAATTTCTGCCCCTTCGTCGTTGTTTCTGATCTCGACGAGAAGGCGTTTAGTGTCTACATTCTGCTCATCATTCTTAGCAAGCAAGCATAAAAGCCAAGCATAAGGAATGGTTGCGAACCCACTCAAGAAAGCAACTATGGTACTCAGCAGCAATCGGAAAAGCAGGCTCCTTGGGTAGGGGAACAAAAGAAGAGAACACGTAGGGAAGAGAAGAGGAGAATTAATACTGTGTCACAATGCTGCCAACTTGTCATTGATGACTATGCCAATATCGTTTCAATGCCATCGAACTTTGTATAAAAGCTTCTGAAGTGCGGTAGAAGAAGAATGAAAGCGACAATCATCAATTTTACAAATATTTCCCATCAAGCAAATAAGAACCAGTGCTTTACCTCTGCTTCGCAGAGGCTCGCACTGGCCATCAAGAAACGATGGTAAACTTACGATGTGAAGGCTTTCTTTTGGATTATTGCCAGCTTGAATGCGGTGAGAGAGTCCTAATTAAAAATGAACCATACTCGCTATCACAACTCACATGCCCCAAAGAATTGTAAATCATTCCTCACTGTATTTTCGTAACAGACAGACTTACAGACAGACAAATAAGCGGCTTATTATAAGTCATGATAGGATGAGCAATACCGACAACTGTAGTTAGGCCCCGGCCAGTCTTCACTCAAAGCGCCCAAATTTCTCTAACCTCTCTTCTCTTTATCTTGTGAGAAGAGATAGAGGAAGTGAAGAGAGGTTAGAGAAATTTGTGGGCGCTTTTGGGCGCTTTCGAGCGCTTCTGAGCGAAGTCTGGCCAAAACCTTAGGATTCCTGTCAAGGAAACGTATAGGCTGTCTCAACCGCAGCATCGGTCCCGCGCTGGTATGCGCGACGCATGCCGCAGGCGCGACGTCGCATAACCGATCCGGTCGGTGCAGCCTATATCAGTGACCCACAAAGTTTGCAGAGTAGGAGCTACAACAGCTCGACGTCCGGAGTGCAAGTAAATTATACGGATTTTGAAAAGAAGTGCAATGATTGCACTGCAATCTAGTATTTGTGAATGAAAAGCGAAGAAAAAATGTGGAATTTTCAGAAAAGAGGGTGGCACAGTGGGGAAGTGGTACTAGACAACTATCCAATCAGCTTTTCGTAAAGAAAATTTCTACCCTTTGATTTAACAGGATTAGTGGCTGAAGGGCAACCGCTCGTACCATCGACAGTCTGCGTCTCTACTGAGAGCCTGCTTTCTGATCATTCTCTAGGCCTTGATTAGGCCTCGAAGCCCCGCCTTCCAGTCGGCAATCCGGTTGAATCAGAGGGCGCATATGTTGCCATGTTGGACGTTATATTTACTTTACAGAAAGCAGGAATTAATCTACTTTCATATCTCAGAAGAAGTTTTTTCCTTTAACGTTCTCCACAAAGATAAGGCATCCCTGCTTAGTAATGGCGGTCTCAAAAAAAAAAATTCTTTGGCAAGGGGTGGGGGGACGCAAGAGTGCTTTATCCCTGCGGGCATGGCTTTAGCCATGAATTTCAAAAAAGGTTTTGAGAAGCTCTCTAAGATGCGATCTTATAAAAACCTTGGAAAGAAATTTTCTCTACGAAGTTAGTTCAAATTTCTGAAGCAATTCTTCTGTACAAGTGAATCAGATCTGCACAGTTCTTTTACAGTGTAAGCCGCAGTCAAATTAGGGGGGGGGGGAGGGGTCCTCCCTTCCTCGCCCTTCTCATACCCTCGGGCCGTTATTGATTGAACATATGAAATCGACCTACAAATCTATCGGTTCATTTGAGACTAGCACCAACTCACAGCTTTCAACCAGTTAATGAAGAATGCGAAACCATTCCAGCCTTTCCACGGTCATAATAACTAAGAGCAAACCTTTGGTTTCCCTATAGTATTTGAAATGAGGAAAATTCAGCAGGGCGCAAAAAAAAAAATTAGAAATGGATTTTTATTCATAATTGTCCCAAACAAATGTGCACAGTGTTCAATCACCAAAACAAATTACTCCACTTCTGTTAATAAATTTACACATGCCTTATCATATTCAATTGTCAATGTTAAAACTTCCATTATATACAATGAGATTTCTGAGAATTTATAGAATCTGTGATAAATTTGGAAGGTTGCTACGCAGATTACTAATATTTTTTGAACAGCTAACACTCAGACCATACATCTAATGTAATTCGGTACTAGTTAACTAACAATCAATAAACATCTATTACATGAACAAAATTTTGACATCACCGACACATACAGATATAGAACTTCAGCTTTTTGAATGTTATAGACTTTGTAAAATTCATAGATAGGCCAGATCACTGCCAATCCCCTTGATGTTTTGCTCTACTCTCTCTTAGGTTCAATAAGTACTAAAAGGGGACCTAGCGTCTAAGCCCAACATAGAAGTGCCCTAACAGTTTCAGCGCTAGTAGTAGTAAGTAAATAGTCAGCATAGTAGCACGTCCGCAAAATTTGAGCCCTTTGGCTTCATTTTGAGCCGGGTTATAAGTTCGCGAAATTTCGTGCAATATATTGCTAGTCACCTCAACCAATGTAGGTATTCGGCACTGGACCATTATGATTAGTTAACCACTCTTCCTTGAAAAAGAGCCCCGGAAGTGGTTAATGCTTACTGTGTTCCTGAGGGGTAGAGACAAAACAGGCTTGAAAGTAATTTTTCATCAGTTTTTATCCATTGCTGAACTAAGACTTCATGTAAAGAAGTAGTTTAGAAGGTAAGTTCCTGAAATAAACTTCGCTTTCCAGCCACTGAAAATGGAATGTTTGGCCGACATATAGTTTGCCTTTGGGTAATGTCTATTAGCAGCAAGTTAAGGCTTCCCAGGAATCTTCAATGGCCTTAGAGATTTTTGCACAATTTGAAGAAAAAGCTGGTGAAAGAGTGTCACGCTGAAGTGTGTAAGGCGACCCTCGCGATATGCTTGCCCGTGAAATTTTATCTAATGTAAGTTGAAAATAATCGATTCCTGACAGATGACGACGATGACACATGTTGCACTTAAGTTCAACGCTAATATGTTGACTGATTGAGCAACTGTAGTCCTATTGTGTGAGTTTGACTTATCGTTCGAGGAAAAGTTTGAAAAGAAATATTCAAAAAGGGCAGTTTCATGCGCAGAAAACCCATATTTTTTGCTGGGAAAAATGGGTACAAAATTGAAAACTGTAATGGCGCAATTGCGGCGAGGGACACGCACTTTTTTACTGATTTTTTTGGAGATGAAAACATCAGCGGACTAATCAAATCGAAAACGAGTTTTGCAGAGTTTCGCCTTGCAGTCCTATTATTTCATAGTTGTTTTCTTTACATCAAACATAAGAATCCCTGGACTTTTTTGAGGTATACAGATTATGCACCGTATATATTCAAAGAACTTGCTGTGTTGTGAAACTTCTAGAAGTTTTATTTATGA